AATTGCATAGCAATGATATTTTTGATATTTAATTATTACTTACTCATACACAAGGTCAGTCTCACCGATTGTCTTGGAAGTAATCTGTATCACCAACAACCCTTGTCCTATAATTAAAAGAAAAATGATTTATTGTCTTATAACTGAATACTACAAGGTTTTTTTTTTGTATGTATACCAAATTCGGCTTAACCATCCAGTAAAGTTGTGTTATCAAGAATATTAKTGGATGAAATGGATTGCTGTAAAAGTCTAAACACTCCACCACATTGCGTCATTAAATGCAACAGCTGGTCAGGAGGTAGGTACGATGACAGAAGTGGCACAGCATAATACAACAAAAGTGCTCTTTTTGCTGATGCTGAAAGGAAATAGTGATAATTTCATTATTTTGTGCATACAAACATGCAAAGAACCTAGATAATATCAATGATSATTTCCAGCTTAAACAAAAGAAAGGCTGTGTCCAAACATAGAATGAAACGCTCTAAATGATTGAATTACATATTGTAACTAGCAATAACAAGAATAATAACAAAGGAAAAAAATGTCTCAGGTAGTGGCATGGCAAAAGCCCAGGAAAATGAAAAATGTTAGAACGAACATTCAAATTTTTTACCATACCCCTAATCAATGACCTCTCGCTACACAACTGAATCRAGTAAAATATGTACAAACATCCAAGTACCTCATCGAAAGTTGTCTTTTAGAAATCCCCACCCCACTTAAGCGCCTTGGTTTTAAATATGTCTGGGTCTAGGTACTTCTCCTGGGCTGGATGTAAGGGCGTCAACCAGGACCTCAAATTCAGTCCATTCAGAAGAAAGTTCTTCAACATCAAGGAGTTTTTGAACTATATTCTACTGTACTTGAACTTAACTACATTAGTACGACCACCAAACAAAGCTTCCGTCGGTTCCAAAGGTTTTCAAAGGGGTAAATTATCAAAGTAATTTTTTAGCTCCTGGTTCTCAGTCAACTCTTTCTTTAGTGCACTTCCGGTCAAAGCCTCGTTTCCATGCTATTGTTACTGCATTCTCAAAAACGTCGATTTTGAAGATGTTCCGAAAGTAGGATTTCTTAGGACTTTTGATGCCATAGATGAACTTGCATGGCCTACTTAGCCTTGTTATTAGTCGGGCTAGCCATAGGCTAGGCCGACTTTAATTTTACCTTTTTGTCAATCTATGTATCATGTCGCGTTTGGGACACCGGAAGTTCAATCTGCAACCTTCCTGTCATGTGATATTCTTTCTAACCGGAAATCAGATAGCTCCAACTGGGATCCCTGTGTAATTGMGTCACATATGATGTCATAACAATTATTRAATTAGCATAYGTCACATAAGTCTACCTCCGAGTCTGCGGCATATCATTGTACACTACTACTTTTTGCTTGACTTATATACTAATAAATTTGCTTGTTAAGAACCATGTGGGAGGACGTGTGCTTTATGTAACTGAATAAAACATAAGCGCATGCTCAGAGTACTAAATGTCCCATMCAATCACACATTTTTGCAGTTACCAGGGCAAAGGTAGCCCTCTCAAATATACCATAATAATCAGCCAATCACGTGCATACCTACAAAGTAACCTGGCAACTAAAATTACCCATAATTTCCTCGTTGGATAGCACAGGAATACCAAGGTCACATGGTCAATCATATTATCCATAATGCTTTACTTTACTTGTCTCATGGTGCTGTACTTGTGCTGTAGTAC